TGGAAAACGCTCAGCAAAGACCTCGTCGACATCCTCCAGCAGGATCCTTCCACCATCACCGAGGACGATACATCCCGCGGTCTCGAGATTATTCGCGTGCTCCTCCCAGTGGCGGAGCAGAACAGCAGCGACACTCCAGAGGAGTGGATGGGCCTTGTCACGGCGGTGGCAGCATGGGATGTCTTTCGCGAGAGGCCGGCTCATCCTATGGTCTTGGAGCTGCAGGTTGCAACGTTGCAGCTCTGCTGTGCGCTGTTGGTCAAGGCGAACCCTGGGATGAGGAGGAGATATACGCATACAATTAGTGCGCTGGCGGGCATCTCGATGCAGTTGGGGACGGCCATTCCGAGGGATAGTTTCTTGAAGGAGGCGATGGACGACGTATTGGGTGTTTTGCGTAGTTTGTCACAAGGCATATAAGCTCTCAACATCACCGACGCCGAAGAGCAATGAAAAATCAATCGCAGATTCAAAGTAAAAATCAAAGGCCTCTATGAGTATTTCAGTGTCCATATCACTCGTGAATCATACAACATCGCTATGCTCTATATCCGTCCCTTATCACCTCGCCTCAACAGCTTCCATCCCCAAAGCCTCCTTTTCCGTCACCGCAGCCGCCTTTGCCCTCTTCTTCCGCGCCCTCCGGATCTCAATCTCGACACGCTCCATCTCGGCATTCACCGAGACGAGGCGCGGGATAACCTGCTCCACGGCCTGGACGGAGAGCGCCTGGGCGGTTCGGAGGGGCAGCGGAGCCAGGAGGCCGTACCAGTGCAGAGGGTTGCGGCTCGTCTTTTCCGTCTTTTGTTTCTTCTTCCCGGCTTGCTTCTCATTCCCTTCGTCGTGCTGTCCCTCGGGTAGTGTCTGCTCGGTCTCAGAAGTGGCAGTGTCGGAACGATCTTGAGCAGTAGCGGCGGCGGCGGCGGCATCTGCGTTTCCTCCCTCGGCACTGCTCCTCTCGGACTTCTTCTCATTCTCATCTGCCTCCTCATCGGCTGCTGCTGCTGCAGAAGAAGCCATCAGATTCCTAACCGTAAACCTGGGCAGCCCGCCGGACAACTCTCCTCCTCCTCCTCCAGCAGCCTCATCAATGCGCAGCACTCTGATCGCGCGCATCCTCTCGTCGTAGTGGTCCTGGCCATATCTCATGCCCCGCTCGCCGGTGAAGTTTGCCCTGGCAATGTTTTGGTAGACGCCCGACTGGAGCCTTGATAGGTCTTGTCGCAGACGGGTGTATTCGTCTAGGAGGGAGAGGTAACGCTCTAGGAGGGAGTCGATGTGCTGCTGCTGCTGCTGCTGTTGCTCCATGGTGGTTTTGGTGTGTTATTGTTTGTGTGGCGGGATTGGGGGAAGTTTTGACGTCAAGAATGGAGTGTGAGTGAGTTGGGAGGTTTGATGGTGGGGTGTGAGCTGGATTGAGCTGAGCCACGTATTTGCTTTAGGTACAGTACGACTCTGCGTTGCTGCTATTGGAAGCTGGCTACGTTATCAAGTACACGAAGGTCTATAATTCTATCAATGCATAGGTAGGTAGGATCAAGAGGAGATGAGAAATTGGATTCTAGTATGAAATCGAGGAAACAGAGCATCAGCCAAGGCCAAGTCACAAAACGCCACCTAGGAAAGTCGGGGTGAGCTAAAGAGCCCCAAGACCTTGACATTTGTCCCAGGGTAGCCCTCCAACACACGGCGAGCAAGCCATTGTTCCTCGCCCTCGTCTCTTCCTCATCTGTATCAACCCGCTGCTAGTACGTATTAACAAACAAGCGCGCTTGTTCCACCCAAAAGCACGAACTCACGCAGCACAAAAGCCGAGCAATCACGACTCACAGGTCCTGACCCATGGTAGCCGCGGTGGGATCACGGCCAAATGCATCAACAATGTGTGTGTCCCGTCTACGTAGGATCTGGAATCCAGACACTATTACACAACCAGAAAATGAGACCAAGAAAAAAAAAAAAAACGGGAGTGAAGAGAGACAAAGGAAGAAAAGGACGCCACCCTTTTCGAGAGAGAGAGGCTTTGGACGACGCTCACCGAACCCGGTGAGGCTTGCAACGTGCATATATGTAGAGTCGCACAACAGGACACCTTGGGTGGTCAGGTGTCATATTGGGCGGCTAGACGCTTGCCGCTTTGCTGCCATTGGCAATGCTCTATTTCCCTGCTTCGTTTCAGACGCTGAAGAGGAGCTATGTATTCGAGAGGTAATGAGGGCGTGATGGCTCTTGTTGGATTGGATTGGTGACTTGGGGAATAGCCGGATGTCCGCGGCTCAAGCCTCGACTGTTGTCTCAATAAACCATGAAAGCTAATCAAGAATAAGTACCTGTTATGAGTACAAGCACACGTCCATAGTACTTCGTCTCCAAGCTGGAGCTTTTCCACAAGTCACTCCATTTCAGGCCGGTAGATCGAGACAGGGGATATGAAGGGGGTCGCTCGCTAGGAGAAAAAAAAAAAAAAAGAAGCACCTCGTTAAGGAGGCAGCTCACGTGCGCCCATTCGACATGAGAGAAGATTCAGGGATGCGGACGGGAGGACAGAAAAGAAACGAGAGGCACCGTTGTTTGATGAGGAGAAAGAGAAAAGAACTGGTTGTTGTAGAAACAGCATGCCCTCGTTGTTCGACTTCCCCTTTGTCTGCTTCCATCGTGAGAGACGTGTCGTATGTACTTTGTCCAGGGCATGGGAGCCTGGAAGAAGCCCCCCCAGCTGCGACCCTGACGATAAGCTCAGGCTTGATTCCGGTTACTCGAGTCTTTGCTTTTCGTCGTAGGGGTTGTATCACGGCTTTAATCAGGTGATTTTGGTCGTATATCCGTCGAGTATCAAATGGCGTTGAGGGAGAAGGTGCAGGAATGGAAGCCGGGCGCTGAGCATCTTCAGCCTCGATGAATAGGACTGGATATTGTTTCAACAAAGCAGCTCAATGTACGTCATTCAGTCTTTGGCAATCTGCAGCTGAGAACAACAAGTTTGACATATCCCTTGTTTCAAGCCCTCTTTCATCAACACCAAACAAGCTCCACAGGCGGAGGTGGTTCCCGGTAGCTGATACCAAGCAAAGAAGTTGTCGTGTGAGGGATCTAGTACGGCGTACATGTAGTCAGTAATAGTGATAGCTCCCTATCGAGAAACAAGCAAAATGCAAATGAAAAAGAACAGCTCTTTGTACATCCTCATGTTTTTCCTCACGATCAAGGATTCAACCAACTAGTATTTCTCTAGATATCTGCCTAGGTAGCCCAAAGCTCGAGAGACCAAACCAGCCTCTCTCCCCTCTTGTCCCTCTCCTCTCCTCGAGTCCCCGGTCTGCCGTCGTCGCGCATTGAGCAAGCCCCCTCCCAATTAACGTGCTGCTAGCCTAGGTGCATTGGATCAACCCCCGATTGCATTGCCAACTGCAGAACCCAATCCAATCCGCAATGCTTGCCCCCCCTTCCCCCCTTCTAACAAGCCACCCGCTCTCTGCGCGCATCTCCTCTTGCCCTTCGAAAACCGCCTCGAACCGGAGCAAACCCGCGGTACCAGCTGTTACCAGCGGACGATCGTCGAGGGCAGTGGCTCTTTATGCGTCGGCACGATCACTCCATGCTCGTCGTCGTGTACTCTATTCTGTGACGACAAGACGTGAACAAGTATATGGCCGTTGAATTTGTGACTGGCAACGTAGTCAAAGTTGTTGCTCTACCTGGTCGGTCTCGTGTTGTCTCTTGTGGCTCTGTCTGTCTGTGCCTGTCCGGTCTCTCACACTTTCTCTCCGTACCCCCAACCACTACCTTGAGACGAGCCACTTCGTCCCACTAACCACCCCTAAGGAGGGCCGAAGTACGACGTCGAGGAACACCGACCTGGGGGTTTAGGCTAAGCTTTCCTCAACCGGCAGAGACCAGACCCTGGTCACGGTGTACCTTTGATGTTCAACGACGAGCGTACGTCGGTCAGTGAGTTACCTAGGACGTAGTTCGGCGGCTCGTCGTTGACCTGCGCGACGTCGCTACGAGCGTCTGCC